TCCAAATAATAATTCAATAATCAATTGGTTTATGTCTTCACGCTAATTTCCTAACATGACAATAATTTTAAGATATAATTGTGGCTTATCTAGTAAATTAATTTCCCAATCAGTGTGTTGATTCAGGCGCAAGCTAACTATAGTCGCTATATTTATAGTCTGGCGGATAGAATTCCGATCGATCAAAAAGCGGAACCAATTCAATATATTGTAGACAAACAATTGAAATGGTACTATCAAGTTTTATAAACAAAACGTTGATTATTCTTTCCTCGCCAATCGAACGCAAATTACCGGCATCATCGGATAGGGAAAATTTTCTCCAAAGATGGTGTTAGTTTGCGTAGGCGTGCCTTAAGTCACGAGAAAATAGCAATAGCTGATGTGCTCTTTTCTGTTGTTGGTCGTGATTTGACAGCTCAATTGGTTAAACAGCTATTTCAAGACCAACAATTGAAACGGCCTTAACTCCATTTTGTAAACAAACCTTGTAAGGCCATTTTCTCGCGAACCGAAACCTTCATTCGCAAACCTAAACCACAATCGGGTAGAGGAGAATTTCCCCTACCTGTTCATTATGTTGGTTTGCCTTTGCGGACATCGGTTCGCGAGAAAATGGACTTACAAGGTTTGTTTACAAAATGGAGTTAAGGCCATTTCAATTGTTGGTCTTGATTTGACAGCTCAATTGGTCAATACATAGCGACTATGCATCAGCTTCTGTCGAACTGTCCTGTGAGCTTAGCGATAAATTCGTTGACAAGAGATAGGCTCTTTTCAAATGTTACACGATAATACAGAATTACATTCGAAAAATGTACCATCACCTCATTAGCAACGGGGCTGATAGCTCTGAGTTTCCAGATTTGTTTCACGATGTACCAGTTCTATTAGCGATTTTTAAAAATGAGGGTGATGTAAAGACACAGATTTAAAGCGCCAGTTACACTTTTCTCCTTGTGAATGTATTGACATGTGTAACGTCCGCTTTAGATGTTTAGAAATATGGGCACAAACAGCGCAGGGTGCAAGCTATTTCTAAACAACCCAAATTTGAGTAGGATCTACTCATATCCACCAAAATTGAGTAAACAAAGTTGGAACTGACAAGATGACGAATGAACAACATCGACCTAAATCCGAATGTTAATTTGTTATCTTGTCAGTTACAATCTAGTTTGCTGAATATTGGGTAGCCATACTGCTGCTGGAAATGAGCAGATCTTACTGAAATTTTGATTGTTTAGAAATAACGTGTGCAGAAAGGTGGAAAAAATCGCTGTACGCGGCCATCGAGATCAACCCAAATTTGATTTTACTTTACTCATAAATCGCAAAAAGTGCAGAAATTCAGAAAAATTTACTTCATGTATTCTAGTTTCTTCACGCATTTTCAAGGAAGAAATGCCAAAATATGATTACACTAACTATTGAATTTTCCCGGTCTATTGGTACTACTACCAGACTATGTAAAATTTTCGTAAATTTTCCTCATTTTCCAGCAGATTATTGAGGTTTTTATTTGGATTGATCTCATCGGTCGTGCACAAATTTGAAGTAACAACATCTGACTGGTTTTATAGAACTTTTCGACGTTTAATCGGTGCACACTACTGTACTTTTTAAATCCAACGAGTGCGAGCAAGAGGGAAATACACCGTCGATTCATACATGTGTGATAGATAGAGAACGACGATTAAGCATCGAAAAAGTCTATTGGAATACGTAGGGTAGATGGTTCAAAACGCACCCCTTGGGTAAAATGGCCCTGCGCTGTTTTTCGCAGCTTTCCGATTGTCAATTTGTGAATTTAAAAATCAGCATTGCTAGTTCAATGCTTGAATTAACATTCTGGCACATGATATTTCCAGAATTAGTAATGCAAAAGCAACGAAAAACTGCATTGGGCCATTATACCCCAGGGGTGCATTATGGGCTATTCTCCCCTACATTCCACGATTTTGCGTACGATTTCTTCTTCTGATGCTAACGCCCAAACTAAACATGATTCTGCGACAGGTTCGAAGTCTTCACAATTTGTGTATGAAAATTTCGCTTAAAACTTTACAGGCTTTAAATATTTGACTGTTCTCAAGCCTTTCCTTTAGATTAATTTCCTTTCACGGAGATCTTTCCAGAATTCTTCTAAAATAAATTTGAAATTTTCTCTGGAAATCCCTTGATTTTTTTATAATATTACATAAATTCTCTGTAGAGCAAAAAGATGCATAGAAATATTTCTGATCGAATGGTGATAAAATTATTAAAATTGATATGGGGGCAGCTGAGTTATTAACGTTTAAAATCTTCCATTATTTTGTTACTTGTTCCATTTTCTGTTTTCACAAACTGTACCCCCATATAGAAATCACAGACGTAGTGCTACGTCAAAAATCATGACCAGAACAAAATTTTAAGGTCCCGATACTTTGAGCAATTGTATACACAACTATAATGAGAATACCAAATAAGTTTTGTAGAGAATTGCAGAAGAATTCTAAAGATAACTCTAAAGGAATTATGTGGAGAATTCCTAGGTAATTCTTTTTTTCCCTTTTATTAGATTTATAAAATTTCAGCCGTGGACTCCTAAGCAATTCGAATAGGAGTTCCAAATACTTTAGAGAAGTATGTCGAAAAAATTGTAAGGAGAAATGAAGGTGAATTTCATGGTAGTTCTTATGAGACTTTTATGGGGATTCTGGGGAAAATTCTAGGGGGATTCAGAAAAAAAGTTTCAAGAGAATTCTGATAAAAATCCAAGATAATCGAATTATTACAACATTTTTTTTTCTTTATTATAGAGATTTTTAGCCATAGGCTAGTTCATCTCTTAATTATTACAACAGTTTTAAGGTAATTATAAATAAAGTTTCAAAAGAATTCCGATTAGGAAATTTCCAGAAATTCGCTCAAGGTCATTTGGAATACAATTTCATGGGATTCATAGAAACATTCCCATGAAATTTTGATGGGAATTCAAAGGTAATTTCGGGACAATACTTTGGGAATAACCTAGGGAGACTTCTAAGAGCAGGAGAATCTTGAAAATAGTTTCTAGATAAGATAAGAATGTCAAGAAAATTCTGAGATAAACTTTAACAGGGTGTCAACTCAATGAAGATAAGCAAATTTCCTGATTTTCCAGGCGTTTTTCAGAAAAATTCTAATTATAGAATATCATTCACATTTTTCAAATATCACAGGTTTAAGACATGGTATGAGCCAGTTGATCAGTTTAAGTAGTAGCCAAAATGCAACCATTTTTATGTCAATCAGCTTGTTACCTTTTTATCTACAAGAACTTTAAGATAAAGTGATCAAGTTACCAAGTTATCAACTATTTTCATCACTAGACTTCTCGCTTGATCACCAGAAAGTTTTCAACAAGTTCGTGATCCGTTTCTTTCCTCAATTTACTACATTTCCTGTCCTTGATTGGCAATTTCCTCACCCTTATTAGTTGTTTTCTGACTGTTTCTGAACTTTTCGCTAAGGATATTTCTGCATATGAAACACTTGTCTTTAATCCCGTTGTACAATTTGTATTTTTCATCTTAAGAAGTTCTGGAAACAACAACCGTCTGACAGAATATTTTGTTTAAATATATTCAATTAAGAGAAAATTTAGGATTTGGCGTCAGATAATCATCTTGTATATAGCATCTTGTTCATGAAAGTTTTCATAGTTTTCATAATTAAAAAATCCAAAGATCCAAAGCCGTATTGAGAGTGTATGAAATCTTTTCTGATAATTGTCTGGAATCACCCCTAGGCTAGTTCTGAGTCCCTCCGTCATAAATCCCCATTTCGATTGACTGGAATCCTTCCAGATATTGTCTTCTAGGGATTGTCCAGAATCTCTCTGGGACTGTCCTGAATCCTTCTTGTGATTGTCCATCAGAATCCGAAATATGTGGTTGCTAATGTTTCGCAGCGTGCTACACGAAAGTGCAACTGCCTTTCCTTTGCCGAAATATCTTCTCAGTTAAGCTTTAGCTTGGAAGCGCACCGCTTAAAATGTTGAAATACGTATTACAAATTTACAAATGCAATTACGCCCCTTGAAATGTTTCCACTGAATTCAACACAACAACCAGGTTGCTATGTGTAAATGTTGTTGAGCAATGCGAGTTACTCAGAGTTACTCAAAATTAACTCCTAAGCTGTCTTTCTCCAAGACTTGTTTCAAGTTTTTATGCAAACTGATGATTATTGGAGTATATTATTCAACTGTTTTTGACTTGCTCGAAAAGCTCTCATATGGACCTTAAAGGGATAATGAGTTTCAGAAACTTTCAAATATTTGCAAACTTTTGATTACAATTGATTGTTTTCGAAATAGTTTAGCAATTTCATACATCCAATATTTTGGCAAGGATAAGTTTCTGAACTACTAAGTACCAATTTATATTCGATTAAAAATTAAGAAAATTTATACAATTTACTACCAGTGCAGTGTTTATCTGTCTTTGACTGTGCAATTTTTGTCAGAAAACTAAAGCTTGTTTAAATATATTTCCTCAAAAAAAAATAGTTCCAGTGTGTCGTTAAACACGGAAACCAAACTTTATTCATAATTTTATAAAATGGAAACACGCACTTTCAGTCACATCTTTTTTGTTTGTCTACTTTACTTGATGCTTTCTTCGGCATGTATGAAGCTCATATATTGAATATATTCAAATTAACTTAGTAAATTCATGAACAATGCATTCGAAATAGCACGGAAATTTTACGAAACTTTAAATCATTTGTGCTCTAAAATGCAATGTTTTTACTCATACTGCACAATTGGATGAATTTTAAAATTGAGTGTATTTCACCTAAATGATCGAAATCCCTTTCCAAAAATCACAAGACATTGATTGGAAATACTTCGTCACATTTCACAACAACCACAAGTAACGATCATCGACTCGCCCCAATCGGAACTTTTCAATCTCGTGACAAGCCTCCCCAATTTACGTCTACGTACTCTCTCCGCTGTCAACACATACCGTATTAATTTTCTCCATCAAAACTTCAAAGTTGTTTTTGCTGCACATTTTGACGTCCGCTTGCGCTTTGCTCCTTCAATTCTCGATGTAAACAGACAGTGTGTAGTTCGGCCCTTTGAACTATCCCGCCGCTCAAGCTCTCTATCACACCAGTCAGCGGTGGCTGGACACCACCGAGAAAGTACCGAAATCCAACTTCACCAAGAAATCGGGCACAGCGCACAGTTGTTGTTACCCGTTGCCAACTGGGTGTTGTATGTTATCTTATTTATTTTACGTTTTCACTGCACTGCTTCTGTTGTGTAAATTCAAAACCGAGAAACGTCAACGTCGCCTTCTCTGGTGCGGTGACATTTCTCCCGGGACTCAACTCGGACACCCGAAAATTACAATCACACGATTCCTTTCGCCTCACAGGAATGTCAAAAGGTTACATCCAACAAATCGCTTTGATCGTATCGATAGAGGTACACATCCTCCAATTTCACACCAGAAAGCACAAATGACAAAATGCGGAAGGCAGCCGAAAATTTTACATTTTTCATCACTCGTTCATCCTCCGTCGCTCGCCGCTGACTCAATCGATTAGACAACACTTTAATCACTTTTACTTTCCGATCGCTGTAACATTTCTTCCTATTCGCTCACTTTTCACCGCAATTCGACACACTTCTGCTAACTGGATTATCAATCTTGATTTACATTTTTCGGTTTTTTAGGCAAAGTATCGATTTCCTACATGGATTTTATGCAAATCCGCTAATCACCGTACACGATCGGCCGCCTCCGCCAAAAATCTATCAATTACCATATCTCACACGCGAGTTCAAGTCAACGACAAACTGCAATCGAAGCATGCCACAGAGTTGACAGTTGACACACACACGCGACCACGCGACGAAAACAAAGCACAACGAAAACACACTGGGACTGGGAAAGACGAGCATCGACCAAGACGATGGTAACTCTAGCGCTGACCACGAACGAATGTGGCGAGTGGAGTTTCGGTTCGCATCAAGCCTGTCTGCTTCTGCACATCTAATGGGAGGAAGGTGTGTACAGGTGTTTTGCCCGCACGATCCACGAGCGAGAGTGCCTACGGTGGGGCACACACATCGCCGATGCACCCGCTCGGGCTCGCTCCGGCAGTGAGTGCTCTCTGTTTTGATTCGGATGAATGCTCTCTCCTCTCGCACTGGTGTGCCAGTTCATCGCCGGGAGAGAGAGTGAGCTCCGCGTGGGAATTTAGAGCTTCTGGAATGTCAACATTGAAAAGTGGCGAACTGTATAGAGGATGAGCTCTTAATCGAAGTGGTTTGTGAAAAGTGCAAGTCAATTCTGTCAATCTGTCAATTCTGTCAATTCTGTCAATCTGTCAATTGAATCAAACTAGAACAACGTCCACTTGGATTCCTGTTCGAGCGCTTGTTTGGATCCGGTTGAACGTCTGGGAAACGTTCAACCGCACACGAAAACGGTGCTTTGTTTACGTTTGAATTCACCAAACAAACAACAACCGCATGGAATCTGGATTAGCATCTCGTTTTCCGAGTTTATTAGCATTTTGAGCGCTAATTAGTCGGGGCATGTTTTCACTTTCATTGAGTTACCGAACCAATTGTTGCGAAGCGAAGGATAAGACGGAGATGCGGGAGAAGAGAGTGAGACCCCGATGAACCTGCTTTTCTCGGGTGGAATTTCTCAACACCGGCAAACGAGGCTAAGCTTTTGCGGCAGATCGTGCTTTTGAGTGACCTTTTGGCACCATTCAAGAGCTCGAGCGAACGAGCTGGAAAAGAGGGAAAGAGAGTGATAGTCACTGCACTGCACCGCAGATTTTTGAGATGTTAGAGGAAGATAAATAACTAGCAGAGGAGTGTTTTATTATTGTTTGAAGACGGTTGTATTTGGTTTGCGGGCAATTTTGCACTCAATTATACGAGAATAATTTCGAATAAGTGTGAACGAGTGTACTAGGAAGACTCTCGGGTATGGCACATTTCACAGATGTAGTGCAATTAAGTACCTCTTGTTTTATTAAATGAGATTGCAAGTACCTAATAATAAATCATGAAATATTGGACAGTATTGTGACGTTTTGTTATGTTCGTTCGACACAGAAATCTTCCCGTGTAACACAATAAGGTCACGGAAAGTTGCAACAACTTGATTATGACTAAAATAAGTCATATAGAAAATTCTATAACTGATTTGTGGCAGCACGCTTGATTGCTAGGGTTGCTTCAAAGCTCAGCTTGAAAATCCCGATCGGGAAATTTTCTAACCTTTTCAGGTTTTTCAAAAATTTCCAAGGAGTTGCTGACGCATACTCTGAAAATTTACTACACTTTACCTATTTAATGGCGATCGAAATTCAGTTCCACGAATAATTCAAATTAGAGACGGTCTAGTATAAGAGAGGAGCGGATTCAAAACAAACTGCCTTGGCAACCTATGCCAATTAATGGTAATTTCTAGCAACACTGCCAATGCAATCAAGATAGGCGCTGCTCGATTAGCTCTGGCTTTGACAGTTTGTTTGGCTCAAAACCAGCCCGTCCGCTCCTCTCTTATACTAGACCCTCTCTATCAAAATTATGCATTTGAGCACTTCCAGGGCAAAAAGTAAAAAAAATCAGGGTCGACAGACTACCAAGACAAGGATAAAGGAATAAAAATTTCATTAAAGGGTGTCCACGATGAAATTGCCACACTATGAAATTGCTCTAACTTTTTTAACCGTTGGGTAGAATTTAATGAAAATTTGGGTGGATTTAGTTCATAGTGCATTATTTACATCCTGCAAGTTTTAAAGTCCTGTGATCAAAACTCGCGGAAATGGAGTCGAAAGAACAGCTCGTGCGTGATAAAATCTTGCGCATTCATCACGAGAACAAGGATCTCTCGCATCGTTCCATCGCTAAAACGTTGGGAATCGCGAATTCCACGGTGTCGCGAGTGATTAAGCGGTTTGAGGAACGGTTGACCACCGATCGGAAGCCCAGAAGTGAAGAAAAAAGTATTCCGTACAACACCAAAAATCACAACCGCGTAGTTGGGGCCTTCAACCGAAATCCGAACGCCTCCGTTAGGGATGTGGCTAAGAAGCTGCACCTAAGCCGAAGTTTTGTCCAGAAGGCCAAAACTAAGGCTGGGCTTCGAACGTTCAAGGTACAAAAGGCCCCTAATCGCGACGAGAAGCAGAACAAGTCCGCCAAAACCCGTGCCAGGAAGTTGTACCTCAACATGCTGACGAAAGTTGAATGCTGCATCATGGACGACGAAACATATGTGAAGGCCGACTTCAAACAGATCCCCGGCAACCTGTTTTTCACGGCCAAGGATAAGTTCAGCGTTCCGGAGCATGTCCGCACTCAGAAGATGTCCAAATTTGCAAAGAAATTCCTGGTTTGGCAAGCCATCTGCACGTGCGGGAAGCGGAGTGCACCTTTCGTGACCCACTACTCCAAGGACGTGCTGAAGTGGTATGCGGACAATAAGGTCAATTTCGTGCCGAAAATGTTCAACCCTCCCAACACTCCGGAGCTCCGCCCCATCGAGAAGTACTGGGCGATTATGAAGCAGCACCTTCTTAAACGACCTAAGGTAGTGAAGACAGTCGAGGAACTGAAGAAAGTATGGGTTTACATGCAAAAAACGGTTGATTCACAGGTTGTGCAGAATCTTATGGCCGGGGTTAAGGCCAAGGTGCGGGCATTTGCGTATGGACTGTAAATAAAATACGAGTAAAATGGTAAAATGAAGTTTAATAGTTATTTCTCAATCCCTGAAAATTTGATGGCAATCGGATGAAAACTCGAATTTTGCGAATCAATTTTGTGTGTGGCAAATTCATCGTGGACACCCTTTATAAGAATAAATAAATTTTGAGTGAAAAAATCCAAAACAGAGTTTAGTCTTTGAAATAACACAAAACGAGACTCTTTAATGTTTGTTGAATTTTATTAAAAAGCAATTTAAAAATAGAGCAGCCAAATAATGAATCGGAAAACTTTGGCCTTTTCCGATTTAAAGGGTGTCCCACATCAAATTGCATCACGGAAAAAAAACGCTGTAGAAAATGACCTAGTTGACCGATCCTTTTCAAACTTACAGACAATAAAATGTAGCCCATTACTAAGCCTTTGGCATATTAATTTCATTCAACTTCAATACCATAACCGTACGCTCGCACCTTACGCTTAACTCCACTCATTAGGTTCTGTACAACATCTGGCTGTAGCTTCTTCTGTACGGAAACCCACTTTTTCTTCATGTCTTCATCAGATTTGACCTTTTTGGTATGCTTCCGTAGTGCCTGCTTCATAATAGCCCAGTATTTTTCGACGGGCCTTAGTTCCGGTGCGTTCATGTCATTGGGTACGAAAGTGACCCGTTGGCTTCGTACCACTCCAGGACAACATTTGAATAGTGGCACGAAGCTAGATCCGGCCAGAAGATCGTAGGGCCTCGTGTTGGGTCAACAGAGGAAGCAGACGCTTCTGTAGACACTCCTTGAGGTGGATCTCCCCGTTTACAGTCCCGGTAGTCACGAACGGCGCACTTCGTTTGCCACATGAGCAGATCGCTTGCCAAATCACGTATTTCTTGGCAAACTTTGAAAGTTTCCTCCGGAACATCAAACTTGTGCTGGGCGGTGAAGAACAGTAGTCCCGGAAGCTGCCGGAAGTCTGCCTTGACGTAAGTCTCATCATCCATGATGAGACAATGAGGCTTCGTCAGCACCTGGGTGTACAGTTTCCGGGCCCGTGACATTCCCACCGTATTTTGCCGTTCGTCACGATTTGGAGCCTTCTGAACTTTGTACGTATGCAGTCCCTCCCGGTCCTTGGCTCTCTGAACGAAAGACTTGGACAGATTCAACTTTTTGGCCACATCCCTGAACGAAGCATTTTGATTTCGCTTAAACACTTTTACGACACGCTTGTGATCCTGATCACTAATAGAACATCCATTTTTACCGCATTTCTCCTTCCGTTCGATGCTCAGAGTTTCATAGTAACGTTTAATCACACGACTCACCGTTGGCTGCACGATTCCGAGTTCCGATGTTCCGATGAGAGAGTTGAGGTTTTTCGGGTGACGCCATTTTTTCCAACTCATTTCTGAAGAACGCTCGGACTTTTCTCTTGATACCGCCAATTAGATTCTGCACAACTTACTTCTTAACTTTTAGTTGTGCTGCAGACCAAATTTTCTGGAAGCAGTCAACAGAGTTTGCTTCTCTTCCATCTTTCTTAAGATGCCGTTTAATTATTGCCCAGTATCTTTCGCTAGGACGCAGTTCATGGCAGTTTGGGTGATCGACTTTTTCCTTCTTGAGCATCTCCAACGTAGCAGAAGCATAGTGAGCAGATGCCAGATCCCACCAAAACAATGGATGATCCATATGCTTTCGGTAGATGGGTAGAAGCCGTTTTTTGATGCATTATTTTCTGTAATTTTCACCATTGATTGTGCCCGTTAGAATACCAAGAACTCTTCAAGCCACAGGAGCAAATAGCTTGCCACAAAAAAAACTTTTTCCAAATTTTTCGGTTCGGATGTATCGCACATCATCAGGCACACCTTTCCTCTGCTCAGCGTTGAAAAATTGCGGCCCGGGAAGTGTACTGGTATCCAATTTGACGTACGTCTCTTCGTCCATCAAAATGCACCGGTTCGGCTTTTGAAGGAGAACGTCATACAAGTTCCGTGACCGTAATTTCGAAGAAGCTTTCTGTGAATCCGTCCTTTTGGGTGCTATTTGCTTCTTACATACATTTATTTGTACAACATCACATTTAAGATAAGACATAATCAACAATAGTACGCCACAATACTCGGCTTGCGGCTGCCGCTCTCCATCCTCGGTCATGCCCAATGCTCGCTAGATCACGCTCTACCTGTTCCGCCCATCGTGCTCTCTGCGCTCCACGCCT